AGATCATAACATCGCTCCCTATCAGCTTTGAAATTTTTAGCCTGCTTGGCTGCCTCATCCTCAAATCGTGCCCGTTCTTCTGCCTTCTTTGTCCATTGTGCCCGGATTTTCGCTAGACTGTCTTCAGACTTTTCCAGGTCTTCTTGACACTTGAGGACTTTCTTTTTTAGACCGCTTATAAGTCTTTCATCACCCCGGCTTCTTTCCGGGTTTCTGGCAGCTATTTTCATCTTCCGGATCTGAGCTTTGAGGGCCTCATTTTCCTGGGTTAGTTTTTTCTTTTCTCCCTCGTCTGCGGCGGCTTGAACACCCTTTTCAAACTGGAGCTCCATGACTTGCCTTTCCAACTGGCTTATTTTGGCCCTGTACTCGTTTTCTTTGGTCAACCAGTCCCATTGCACTTGTGCCCCATCGGTGAACTGTTGGACATGGGGTCTCTTTGCGGGCCTTTCAGGAATCTGGAATCTTTTGCCGAACCAGACAATGTACTTAGGGTCCACTTCACCTCTAGCTAGATCTCGCACCATGGTCTTAGGTTCAAGAAATCTACATTCGTTCCACACTTGGCGAATTTTCCCTTCTGGAAATGCGGCTTTTGGGCCCAGTTCAATGACATGTTTACTCAGATCTTCATCATTGGGGACGGTTTGAAATCTTCCTAATTGGCGCAAAACCCTGTAGGGAGCATAAGGCTGGATGCTCCGGATGCCCATCAAGAGGATATAACACACTTCAGCTGACGTGTACACCGCTTCGGTGACAGGAAGCCACCCGAATGCCCACTCAATTTTATCGGCAGTCAAGGATCTCAAATGTGCAAGCCAAGCTTCGTACCCTCAGGGAATTCAATACCTGCCACTCGGCTTTCAAATTCTTCAATGCAGCTCAAACCGGTCAAACCATAATTCATGTACCCAACCGGGTGACAGAAGTGTTCTTGCATCCATAATTGTAGTAACAAATTGCAACCTGGAAGAACTTTCCCCCTTCCCGACAGATAGTCAAGGCTCGGTAGATTTCAGACACGATCAGAGGAACCACAGTGCTGTTGGCTTTCTTGATTGCAACATCGATCATTCCTATGAGACAAATCTCTATATTCCCATCTTTCCGTGGACAAACTACAACACCCAAGAAGGCTACCATAAAAGCTAAACCCCACCTTGCCTCCCATTTGTCTTTATTTCCGGCATGAGTTAGACCAGTGTTCGGCTCTTCAAAACCGCGGGGGTTACCATATCGATGATACAAGAACTGGAGCATGCAATACCCTTCAGATAAATTTCCGTCCTGAATATCCCGACTAATGCTCAGCAAATCCAGAAATCTGTGGGGAGATACCGGTCTTGGTGACAATGGATATCGACTTCTAAGGTTTCCATTAAGACCTGCATAACCCGCAACTTCCTCCAATATAGGTGTAAGCTCAATGTCAGAGAAACGGAACACATTGCGAGTCGGGTCCCAAAAAGGTATAAAGCTTCAATTATGTCCAACCTTGGCTTGACGTTCAATCGTCCGACGAGGCCTCCCAGAACCTTTACCAATGTTTCTCTACTGCCTTTCCCTAGATCATCCCACCACATGTGGAGCTTCAAGGGGATCTCATTAAGGACTGTGAAGGGTTCAATTTCATTCGTGCTCATCCTGCACATTTATTAAGGTGATTTAATAACTCATTTTGACCTAAAGAAAAAGAAACACCATTTTTTTTCCAAAATTTTATTTCAAAACAAAACCCGGCTTTGCAGATACGGCCTTTTAGCACTTCAGGGAAAAAGATTTTAAGGCTGTGCCCGCTAACCGTTAAAAATGACACAAGGTGGCTGTTCTTCAAAAACAGCCTTCCGGCGCCCTTTTGGGAAATTCAGCTTATTTTTAAACAAGAATGGCATCACCCGACTTATTTATGACAAAAACTAAAACTTTGTTATTTTTGGGCTATTTTTGCAAAAAGGGAAGTTGGATCCGATGGGGGTTGCCTACGTATCCCACATCCGGTGAGAATCAAACTGGCGTAGTTCGGGCAGATTGGCAAAAACCAACTATTTTGAAACACTTTCTTTTTTTTTCATTTTCTCAAAATTTCGGTAGAGTTTCAGAATTTCCTAAAACGCCTACCTCTCACTCTTGTTTTTTTTGTTTTTTTTCCCTATTCTAGAAGCCGGTCAACATGCGAGCCGAAACAAATAAATGCACAAGTAGCACGTAAGATGCATCAGGATGGTCTTTTCATTTCAGGTACACCTGTCCTAGACAGACCCAACCCCTGTGTTGAGTCTCCTAAGTCAAATGCACGTGATGCAAACAAACGTTCCTACTAGGGATCCGGCATGAGGCTTTGTTATACTAGGTTTAAAACCTGGGTTTATTGTTCTAGACCTGGCTTACCCGAGCGGACAACTCGAGCCGGAGGGGGGGGGGGCAGCGTACCGGGAATACAGAAGCTTCGCCGGCTTAGCAACTTGTCCGAACCTCGTTCTAAAATGGGATAAGACTCTAGACAGAAGAGAAGTCACACGAAGTGCACCCTTCTCCATGATGTAGAAGACTCAGAGAGAGGAAGGGTTTCGTAGCAGTTTATATATACAATTCACCAAATATCAAAGCGGTAAAGCATTTAGCACATTAGGATGAAACATGTAGGAAAATCAGATAAAGCCAATCATAACAGCTATTCTAAGCTCGAATTCTTAAACCCTGAACCGAAGTTCTGGGTTTTGATCCCCAGCAGAGTCGCCAGAGCTATCACACCTCCTTTTTTACACACCACCCCTAAGGATAGTGTATAAGGGAGTTTTTCCAGTTTAAGTGACATTATTCGAAATGGGATTATTTATTTATCAGAGTCGCCACTTGGAATGGTTTATTTGGTGTCCCAAGTCTCCGATTTATTTTGAATCCCAAATCGAGGAAAATTCGACTTTCCTTGTGAAGTCTGCTAACCAGAAATTCTGACTAAGAAATTATGTTAACCCGGGGGAAGGTGTTAGGCACCCCCGGATTCCGTGGTTCTAGCACGGTCGCTTAAACTGTTACAATTGGCCTATTATCTAATTCCAATACATGTTCAAACCTATAGTGCAATTTTAAATTATTTACCGCTTTTAATTAATTTTAAGGAAAATTGAACGTCGTCTAAAACATGTCTTTGGGTCACGTCACATGAAATGCACCCGTAATCCTAGACACATTTTATTCAACATTTGAGGACTTGGATTTGGGTCACATGAAATGCACACCCGAGTTTAAGAAAGTAGTATTATTAAATAACGCGCCTAAAGCAACTAACGCGTTATTAACTTTGCGAGGGGCCATGAAAATTTGCTAAATGGCACGCCTCGAGTTCTAAGTATTTTAAAAGAAATAATTATACGAGGGCCACACATTTGTGATTTTATTTGGCGCGGCGCACCTCAATTCCATTTTTTAAAGGATGTGCTAACTAAAATTCAGGAGGGCCATCAACTATTGTTATCTATTTGGGCCACCTCCGCAATCAATTAAAGGGACTTAGTTAATTAACTAAAGACTTACAGTGATTGAAATTCCATCTAAATAAACCAAATATTTTAACCTCTACAAATCAGTAAATGGTGAAATGACAAGAGGTTAACGTGAAGTCCAATTGAAAAGCAAGGCCCAGATTACTCTCGAAGGAGACTGTCAAAGTTGGAGCCCAACAATGAGCTCAAATTCGAAGCTTCAACAGATTTAAATGAGGGACTCAACATCGAGTCTCTATAGGCCCAGAACTAGCGAAATTCAACAGCACAAACATTCAGTGGGCCAATATAAGTATAAATATTAGCTGGGCTTGTTTGTTATGCAACTGGGCCAATGTTGGGCCCAGTTCTTATAGTCCAAATGGTTCAGATACAGGTTATAATGATACAAACACAAGTTGATACCATCACATGAACATGAAATTAAGAGATTTGAACTTCTGATTTAAACCTTTTGACACAAATTAACCCAAAACACCATCAGATTCATAAAAAACGCCTGGGCCTGAGAATGAGCCTAAACTCAAACAAGGATCACTTCCAATAAGGACAAGATCCTTAGCTCAAATTTGCTACTCAACTCACAGGCCAACCTCTTTTAGTTTCACTTTTCAAATACAGATAAACGGACAGACTGTAGGAGTAAAATGTTCAAAACTAAAGAAAATGTATGAACAACTGAATTTTAGATTTACAGATTTACAAACTCGAAACGAATGACCACAAGAACTAGGGCAATGGAAATTAGCCACTGAATGCATAGATCAGGATTTAACTAAGAATCACTTTAAAAAATCTATTCACCACAGCATTGATACTTGTACACACAAACATATTAATCTTATAGTTATCTTCATGCTTACATAATATTCCAAATTTAAACTAACATTTAAGACATGACAGCAAAACCCTGAAAACACTTAGAAGAGAGCAGTACTATTATGGATTAAACTCTCAATGATTTCCATGCTTCATGATCAACAAAAGCTCAAGTATTATAGCATAGCTAAACTACTGAAAACATATCAAACTTACACCTACATGGACAGTAATAGAAGCTGACAGTTCCCAAAATGATTTCTACATTTGCTAACATGAATTGCTAAAATTAACCTATACTAAAGCTAAAATTACCAAATAAGAATGAGTTCAACAGTCCATAGTTAATTACAACA